CATGAGCTGAGTGAGAAGGACAAGACTGTGAGACCACAAGAGCTCCAGCACAGAAGAGTCTTCACCCACAAGTGCCTACTTCAGAAAAGTAATGGGAGCTAGGTCCTTCTGGAGAAGGGCCTGGGGACTTCATTTTAGATGAAACCAGAGGAAAAGACAAGAAACAGCAGAGCTCTGTGTGAGGGACTGAAGTAGAGCCTGGCCCCAAGGCTGGGCACAGGGGAGCAGAGTGCTGCTGTCACTTCACCCTGCGCTCCACATTTATGCTACATAAAAAGAATATTTGACAAATTGTCTTATCCCTGAAAAAAAAAAAAAAAAAAAAAAAAAGAAGGGAAAAGTTTCTTTTCCACTACCAACTGTTTCAGTTTTCTTTTTTAGGCAAATAAAACTACAAGCACTTATGACTTCAGTTTTATGTTGTTGCTGTTTTTGGCAAAAATGGGACCATGAACTGACCGAAAATAGAAATGCTGCATACTTTTTATCTTCCCATGCCCAGGATGAACAAATCACACTAGGCAAACAGACAAAAAAAAAACAAAAAAAAACCAACAGTGTTAAGGGTAAATATCCTTTTCATTTTAGTTTTCGAGATCTATTGAAAGCAGAGGTAAGAAAATCAATTTGTTTAAGAAATATGACTTTTGAAATAACCACGATGTTCCTTTTAGTTGCACTGAAATACAAGATAAAGACAGGGTACTGAGTGAAAGAGTGCTGATGGCGCTTTTATTGTGTGATTTGCCTTGTTTTTTTCTGAAGTACTTCTTTTTAGCCGATTACCACGTATTTACAGTTAGTGTAATTATATCTAATTACTTAATTAGCATGAATACGTGTAATTACTAACTTCGAATATGTAATTATGTCAGGGCAGCCTGTAATAAATGAGGTTGAAAAAAACTCTCATTAGGACTCTACGAAAGGACGGCTGCTCCACCCGTGTGGAGAATGCATCCCAGTCCCCAGACTGCGCCAGTCCTGGAAAACACAGCCAGCTCCAGTCGTGGCTGGCAAAAAACTCCCCTAAAATCAAAGAATTTGCTCCAAAAGTTCAGCTTCACAGTACTTGTTGCAACTGAGCATCCACTGCTGGGATGCAGGGATCTGCCCCCAGATCAATTTTCTCCTTCAGGGTCTGGATTTTTTTCTCCAATTTGTGTCATTCTCCAGAAGACCTGTTTTGTTAGATGAGAAATACAAGGGAACTGAACAACTCCAAAACTGTGCTGTGGCATTTGAGTAAAGCTCAAGAGATCAGATCCAAGAACTAATCTGCATCTGATGCATTGTGCTTGGAATTAATTACTATTTAATTACTATTATTAAAGCAAAACAACCTTCCAAAATGTTTCTTCTGAAACATTACCAATATTCACCACAGAAATCTCCAGCTACTCATAATTACAAAACTTGAATTTTGGGAATTCAAATCCTGAACTTCAAGAGAGGAAGATGAGGTAAGAAGCTGCTGTTACTGCCAAGCCTACCCAGAAGGAGAAACAGCCGACTTCTGGCAACAAATGTGGGTAGAGTGGATCATGTTTTGCATTGCCAAAATCTCTGACCATAGGCTGATGTTATGTAGTCCTAAACTATCATCCTCATCACTTTCTCTGCCCACTGTGCTTGCCACAATTCCCATTCTTCTCCTCTGATCTGTTTATTTCCAGATATTGAGGTGCAAACTCATCACAACCTGTTGCTCTTCCTGCTGCTGTTTGCCAAGCAGATATGAACTTGGTTTCCCTTCCATGTGCACAAGATCAGGAGAAAAAGGCAGTTTTAGCTTATTCTTCTGAAATCCATTTGTGCCTGGACTGTCCACGTTGCCAAACCTTTCCTTAACCTTCCAGGTAGGACCAAGGACAGGATGCAAACCCAGCACAGAGCAGAGAGTTACAGCACAGAGATAGGGGAGCATCTTCTCAATAACTAAATGCTCCAACATGAGAAAACAGGGTGGTGCTGGTGTCTTATGTGGTCTTTGAGAACCCCTCACCCAGGAACAGAAAGAGAATCCTGAGTCAAGCTTGTCCCATCTCTGCCCTAAGTCAGGCAGCAACAGAAAAAGGTAAGACAACTGCAAAAATCCCAGGCAGCCAGAAGTGAGGACTGGTTCCTGTGCCCTTCATCCCATTGACACGAGGACAGCACATTCCCAGTGAAGAACAGGTCTTTGTCTCCTTGAGGACACATTAACAGGAAGATCTCATGGGACAGCACTGCACAGAGGGAGCAAGAGACCTCCAGCTCTGCAGGCAGGGAGCTTCTCTCCATATTTCAGCTGCAATTCCATTATGCAGAGCTAAGTGGCTGGGAATAAACATCCGTCATCCCTGCGTGATAAGTGATGCTTGCTAGTATGGAGGGTGACAGAAATCTATATCACATCAATGTACTATTAATACTGCATTAAGCATATAGAGTTTGCTCCCCTCGTTGCAGCACGGCAATGGGTATCAGCATGTCCTCGACCTAGGCAGCATCCAAGAGCCCAGGGATGCTTGCAGGAGGAAGGAAGGAGAAAAGCTTCATGTTGGAGAGGGAAAATGCTTGCTGAAGATGTTGCTCTAGCAACAGCTCAGTGCAAAGGAGAGATGCTGGGTGTCAGAACACCTTTGCTCGCAGCTGGGGGAGGTGGTGGCAGGAGCTTGCATCTGTACAGGCTCAGCTGGGAATCAAGGCACTCGCCAGCCCAGAGGAGCTCTCTTTAGAAGTGACAGCAAATGGAGAAATGTTTGTGTCCAAGCTCTGCACAAGGGGAGAGAAAAACCCTCCAGCATGACAACCACAGGGAGAACAGGAGCAACAAATATTCTCCAGCCCAGGCTTATGTTGAGTAGAGCACATCAGATCAAACAAACGCCTTACAGCAAAAGCTCCCCAAAGCATGGTTAATTTAATAGGTGAATTATGAAACTTTCCAGCCTCAAGCAAAGCCACCAGTGAAGTCAGAAGTTTTGACCAAGTTAAGACCTGGGGACTAAAATACAAAACATACACCAAATTCAACTCTGCCTGAGGAGTCAAGGACTGGGTTTTGCCCCATGAATGACAAAGAAATAAAAAAAAAAAAAATAGGGTTTTCAGCCTGCAAGCACCCAACTGTAGTTTGCCTCTTATTATCCCCCAAAGGGAGTACCAGTGTTGTGGGGTTTGGTTTCAGCCCCACTGCCTTGCAGTCCTGGAAAACCTGGAGCATTCCCTCCTGTGGCACCCTTCACAGGAGAAGTGCCTCCAGATGTCACCCCAAGCATCTCTGTGAACCCTTCAGATCCTACTCAAACAGCCCCATGAAGCTCTGAGGTGAAATCCTGCTGCAAGTCACTTCCCCTGCAACTCACCCAGTTCTGGCAAGTCCCACAGGGCAAAAGCTCAGAGCAAAACTTAATCCTTTGAGGTTTAAGCTCTGCTACTGCACAGCCTCAACAGCGCCCACGTCTTGCAATGGTCGGCATGCAGATTAAAGAGATTTGAGACAGCACAGGAGGGAAAGGAAGAAAAAGTAAAGCGGGGGAGCCCTCCCTCCCAAGCCATCAGAGTTTGTAAATCACTTTGAGATGAGGTGCTATAAGAAATGTAAAATATATAATTAACAGCACAGAAAAACCACGCTACATTCAGCTTCTCCACTCCTGCCTAATCACCGCCCTCCTCCTCCCCTCTCTACAAACAGACCAAATTTAGCACATCAAAATGAAAATCAAGGGGAAAGCCAGGCACGTTCTTTGGGTACATCCCATTGCTCTGGCAAGTGAAGGACGGTGCTAAGGGCTTGGGCATGAGCCAGCAGGACCCATGAGGGGCAGAGTGGGGCTGCCCAAGGGATACCTCCATGGGAGCAGCAACTGCAGCTCCCCTTCCCCTGATGGAGGAATGGAGGCAGAAGCAGCCTGTTGCTGCTGAGCATTTAATGCCACATTTGGGAGATGTGCCTTCTCCCTGTCTGCAGGGACTGACTTCTGTCTCCTGCACCTGTGAGTCACCAGCAGCCAAAGGAAGAGCAGAGGTGACATCAGCACCTTGCTTCACCGAGATAGCCCAAGCTGAGGGCTTTTCACCTTTGGTTTTGAAGGATTTTTATTTTTCCAGTTCTACCTGTAACCAAGACGCACCAAAAGGATGTGCAATAGCAAGAGAGGAATATTACCCAAACCTCCTGCATTGCTCAGCTTGCATCTCAGAGCTGGTAAGAGGCCTGGGAGAGCTCAGCTACTGCCTGTGAGCCACATGCTGGGGAAGGCTGCATCCCACCACTTGTGTGGGAAGTGGTGCAGGACTCCCAGAAAAGCATCCTTTTACACAGCACTTTCCTTTTCAGAATTTAGAAACACAAAGTGGAGAGGGCCACTTGATCACCTCCTGCTAGTCTAATGAGCCCAGTTCATGACCCAAATTTATACAGGAAAGATGCAGAAGCTTTACAGAAGCCCATAAAAACAAGACATCCAGCATCTAAAATTTCTGGAGACAAAGATAGCTCCAGGCATCTACCACACCTATGCCCATGTATCCTGAGTTTCCCCCTGGCCCTTTGGGGAGCCAAAGAGGAAGCCCCATGACTGGGAAACTGCTGGAGGAGGAAGGGGAGGCAGGTCCTTTCCCCAGCCAAGCAGGGGTCACATCCATCCCCATGCTGCCAGGGGGCTCTTGCTCACACCTGGGACCTCATGCTTGGAGCTGATGAGGAAGAAGAGCCCGGCTTGGAATGGCACTTTCAGGTGGGGGGGAAGGTGAAGGGTGGGTGGCGGAGGGAGGGTGAAGGGAGGTGAAGGTGAGAGTGGAAAGTCTTTTCTGGAAGCATCTACATGTATGTTGTGATTTCTGAGACCTGAGATTCACTTTGGTTTCTGGACCATACCAAGACCCACTCTCCTCAAAAACCTCCTTCTCTTCTTCCTCATCCTCTTAACCTCTTCCTCCTCGCCCTCCTTCCCCCATCCCCCCAGCCCATCCCTCAACCCTTGGGGGGCTGTGGTGGGGTGGGCACTCACACGTGTCTGGCTTGTGGCAGTTGTGACCCTGTCGGAAGTACTGGGGGTTCTCGATGACGGGGATGCGGGTCATGCCGATCACCACCGTGTCTGGCCCGGCGTCCAGCGACGAGGGAGTCGTGATGCCATGGTTGATGTGGTGGAGAGGGCTGGCTGAATCCTCCTCTCCGCTGATCACTGCCACGGGACCTGCAAACAGCACACACATCTGTCAGGGACAGCAGAGGACAGGGGCCAGTGAAGCCTGTTGATCACATGCTGATGGATTGCTGCGGGTTGGCAGGGCATTACCACCAGCCTGTCCTGCCATTCCTGCCAGTTGTCCCATCCCCGGGTTTAGTTTCTCTGGGAAGCTCACAGGGTAGGGGAGACGTCTCACATTTTCCTTCCTGGCTTTGAGGTATCAGACTAATCCCAACCCCAAAGAGTTAAAAGCTACAGGTGACACCACATCAGAGGAGGGTCATGCACAAAGTCCTCTCCTAGGGCTGTCATGAGAGAGCAGTTGCTGTGTTGCCTGTATGCTCTGGCATCACAAAGCTCAGCAGAAATCATAACTATACTTCGACTGGAGAAACACCTCAAATCCACATTTGTGATATGTCTGTTGCCCAGTGTGTTGCCCATCTTTTTGCCCTTCTCCAGCTTCACTGGGGCAAACTCACTGAGCCCTTCAGTCAGGCTGATGCTTACAGGGATCCACAATGTATTGGAGCAGATCCTGCTCAGCTCAAGCTCATTCCCACCACCAACAACACAAATGGTAGCATCTTCCCCTTACCCTCCTGACCCCCAAAAGCTCACAGCACCATCAGACAGGCAAGAAAATGAAGCAAAGTAATCAGGCATGCAAGATGGGAGCAATGGAAGGTTTCTATCCCTTCTGTTTTATTTTGGTTTTAGACCCTTTAATACCTGTTGCAGCCATTCTTGCTACATTGGTGTTGGACAAGTTAGAGACCACAATGAAATCTTCCATCAAACCTTTTCAATATTTTAACATGGGAAGAAAATCCACACTCAATAAGTGACACTCCTTTTCTCCTGTCTGGATGTTACCAGATTACCAGAAGCTCAAGTAAAAAGGAACAGAGATGCTGCACTTAGGTTTTGAACTTATTCAGAGAAGCCAGCCTTTTACCTACATCGCATAAAAATTGCTCATCTCCCAACAGTAATCTGCTTCTAATTGCACAATTACTTTATTATGTAGCACTGGCAACAAAGAAGGGAGTCTTCAAGCCATTTTACTCTCCAGAGCTACTGTGAGGACGAGGCAAACACCGGCTCCATGCAGCCATTCTGCCTGCATTAATCTAGTCTAAAGGCTGCTCATTTTTGGATCTTCAAGTATTGTTTGTTCTTCCAAGTGGGATATAATAAAGTTATTGTGTAATTAGCAAAGTCTTGGCAGCTGTGACAGGTGTTTTAGTCACGAGGAAAAAAAAACTCTCTCCCTCTACTGTGAATTCCTTCTGGCAGGTTCTGGCTTTTTTAGCATTACTCCCCAGGCCCGTGTGACTTTCCAGCTCTTGAGGTGCAAAGGCAAAATTCAGCTCTTGATGCAAGATGCCTCTGTTGGGACTACACACAGTATTACTTCTCCAAACACAAAAAGCAAATGGGCAATTCTGGTTTGAATGACTTCTGTTCCTTCACAATGTCAATTCATTGCAGGCGAACCAGGATGACTCATTTTGTATGATGTGCACATTTCTTCAGCCACACCCTGCACTGCTGGCCGGCCCAGCTGTGGTGGGAAGGGGACAACTCTGCATTTCAAGGTGCAGTTCAATAAAAGACAAAACAAAACAAACACATAAAAATATCAACTGGTATAGACTGGTGTAAATAATCTGAGGGAAGACCATAAAGATCTCCCTTGCAGCAGTGAAGGCTATTGAAGGCATACTGCTTTGCTTAGGAAGGCAAGGTGTTGCTCCAAAGAATAGCAACTCATCAGGGGATGTGAAAGGCCTCTCTGGTGAATGACAGTCAGGCTGGACAAGGCTTTGAGCAGACTGATCTCATGGAATGTGTCCCTGTCCACGGCAGGAAGGTTGGAATAGCTGATCTCTAAGGTCCCTTCCAACCCAAACCATTGTGTGCTTCTGTGTGAAGGAAGTTTTCATAGCTCTGTATTCTGAGCAGAAACCACACCTTTGTGAGAAGGAGCAAAGAGGATGTAACCAAACACCAGGCTGGCACACACCCTGCTGAGCACTTGCTTCTCAGGGACTCCCAAAACCCTGCCAGCATTTCACCCTTGCTGTTCTTGCTTGCTCAGCACCTCCTCATTTTTAGGGAACACAGATCATGGCAGTGTCCCTCTAGGTTAAAAGGACATGGCTACATCTAAAAGAGCAAGGCACAATCCAGGAGGTTGTGTACTTGTGAAAATGAGCATAGCAAGCATCTATTAGCCAACTGTCTCGTGGCCATTTCCCTGACAATAAACAGATCCAGAGTCTGACCTTCTTTACACTCCACAGGGTTGGGTTTTTTCTGTGGTTTACTTCTTAGGAGACTTTCTTCATGTGTTATCATAGTTTCATGCCCCAAACATATCCAAGATCTTTGAGGCAAGAGGTAACCACATCTCAGCTGATCCACAGCTGCATCCCCATTCCCCAATGAATATCTTGTCCTGTGAATGGACTCGGCGTCTGAGTCACCCAGCTCAGGTTAATGTCACCAGGCTTGTCCATTTACAAGACCTACCAACCCTCAAAAGCCTCAGAGCCGAACTCTAATTCTCTATCTCAACCCTTTCACATTTCTGCAAAACTGAGAAACCCCAAGAACTGCAAAGGCAGAGGCACCACAGGGAGAACACATGTAAAGTATATTCTACCCCTGCAGTAATTCAGGGACAGTTTACTGCCTCCAGCTGTACTTCCAGGTCTTGAAAAAAACTAAAATAAATCACATTCTCAAAAGTCCTAAGGAACACTTACAATGGATTCACTGCATTAGCCTTCCAGCTTTCCAAAACATTTCTGGTGATTGTAGGCACTGATCTGACATGGCCTAGAACATATAATTCATCTCAATATCCTCCAAAGGATATAATTTGATTAAAGGCAGTTTTCAGTTGAGGACTTCTCCAAGTTTCTCCTATTAGGTTGTGGGTTGTTGGGTGTGGTGGGGGAGTATAAATCTGGACAACATTAATTCCTTCAGCTACAGTCATGCAGCCTTATCACATTAATTCTGTTATTCCCATCTCTTCTGGCTGGTCACTGCTGAGATCCAATTCCTTCTAAGCCCACGGCCCCTCTGTTGTCACTCTGAGACTCAGACCAGTGCTGGACTCACTGTGCAAGCCTGAGACAAACTTTAAAAACATCATGGATATCAAAACAGCCACCAATCACTTTTATAGGTGTTATATTGCCCTGACTCAGAATATACTCTGCCATTAGCAATTCCTTGAAATAAAGCAGCTACATAGACTTCAAATTTTTTAATCTATCTTGGCAATAGCATATATATTTTTGCTTTTAAGTAGTCAAAGAGGTTTAGTTTTCTGATATATAATGCTGATGAATGGCTTTATTTGGAATTCTCACTGGTTTCACTACTACTAGTGTATTTTCTAGGTAACGTTAAAGGAAAAAAAATGAAGCAGAAAAAAAAAAGAGAGAGTACAGATTTTAGAGATTTAGGTTTACCTTCCATTTGACAGGGAAATGTGCAGAGAGAGATAGAAAAGAAGACAGTTTGTACAGCAAAAATGTATAATAATAGACAAAGGGTAGCTTGGAGTAATTCCTAACGTACCATCCTGTGATTTTAAAAATTATATAAAATATTTCAGAGCTTTTCAGAACAGTGATGCAATAGCTGTTTCTGTGAATAACTCAGCCTGTGTTATGGACAAACATACTATGGACATTGACTATAAAAAGGGGCTATTTGTTAAAAATTTAAGAAGGCCATGATCTGAGCACTGAACCTGTTACAGCTGTACTCTGAAAGACTCTTCCCTGGCTCTCCTTCCTTCTAAGCAGGGCTCTCACCAGCCAGCAGCATCCACACAGTCTGTGAGGACAGAGCTGGGCTGTTTCCCATGCTGACCCCATGCAGTTTTCCTGACAAGGAAGCAATACCAGCAGCAGTGACGGAGGCACTCCATCACTGCTTTTCCCTGTGAGGAAAAGCTGGGGAGATGTTAGGGCTGCCCAGGGCTATCCCTGAGTGAAGAAGCAGCCACTGCTCCAGCCCAGCACTGCAGCCACTGCCAACCTGCCCCTTCACAATGCCAGTGGGAGAGTCAGCCACAACGACCTGGAAATCAGGACCAAATTCAGCTGATGTTCAACAAAGAGCAGGGAGGCAGCTTGGAAATGTTACTTTTGGAAACGTCAGAAGCAGCAATTCTGTTCTCTCTTCCCTCCCACATCTCCTCTACTCCCTCTTTCCTGAGAAAGACATCTCACTCAAATACCACCATTCCCAGCCTCATCTCCACCCTCTGTTCTCCCCCAGCCTCCTAGTCAGGCTGCACTCCATCCATCCATCCATCCATCCATCCATCCATCCATCCATCCATCCATCCATCCCAGCAATGTTCCAGCTCTCTCACTTTGCATCCGCCCTGTTATTATCATTTCTGTAAACACTCCTCCAGATTCCCCCAAAATCTCTCCTTTTCAGAAAATCTCTCATTCTCTGCTCAGCACTGTTTCCTCTGGCTAAACTAGAGTTTGGCTTGGTGTTTACCTTCACCTGCCTGTTTTTCTGGAAGCTCTGTGAATAGGATATAGCTTTCAGTCCATTTCTGTGAATTGCCTGGTTCATTCACAGTGTTATACAGACAGCTTGTTACTCATGAAAAATAAAGCAAATAATAATAGTAATAAATAGCTTAGGGACCCCTGTTTGTACAATCATATCATAGTGGGAAATTATTTATCAAGGCTAAGAGCTATACTTTATGATAAAACAGGCTCAGGAATATAAGGTACTGTATAAATAACCATAGATTAGAGAAGATAATGGTCACTTCTCACATATCTGTAATAGAATGAATGCCCCAAGGCAAACAGGTGAAGAAAAAACAAAAACTCCAGCTTGGCATTACAGTAACCTCTGCAAAGCAACTAAAGTGACTGAAGGTGAAGAAAACATGACCTCTAAGGGAAAACTAAAAGAATTATGCTTTGTGTTCAGAGGAGAAGACTGAA